ATCAGACCACATCAGACCACACCAGACCACACCAGACCACATCAGACCACATCAGACCTATCAGACCACACCAGACCACACCAGACCACACCAGACCATGATACCCTGTTGTTTGTGTCCAGGCCACGCTGCAGGTCAGAGGTCACGGGGAGCGTCTCCACCAGTGTAAAGAAGTGACCCTCACCACCTATAAGTCCATCCCCATGCAGGTGGATGGAGAACCGTGTAAACTGTCCCCGTCCATCATCAGCATCAGTCTGAAGAACCAGGCCAACATGGTGCAGAAGACCAAGAGGAGGAGCTCCATGCCCCACTTCAATGAGTAAGGACCCAACCAGCTGCATTAACCTGCAGGCTCCACCCACACTGACACGTTGACACAACGATGACTGCTGGTCTCGTTTAGTTTGAAAACTCCGGTTGATCTGGACGAATAGAAACGGACACTTTTGTAAACGATGACGCCAACATTCTCTTCCTGGTTCATCAGCTGTTGTGTTTGTTGATCTTCTCATCCTCTGCTTGTTTCCGAGCCTAACCTCAGCAGAGTCTATGCTCCTGTAGATGCACGCTGAGGGTGGTTTTAGTTTTTCTCCCCAGTGTGGGATTGATAAAGTCGATCTTATCTGATCTTCTCGTTGCTTTCGTGTGTTTGTGTGCAGCCAGCAGCTCGTCCCTGAAAACCTGCAGATCACAGTGAACAGGATCAGCATGACGGCGTACGAGGCTCTGCACTATGACATGGACCAGCTGAGGGACGCCTGTGAGTGACCAGCAGGGTCCGCCATCACCTCACACTCCAATTCCCAGACTGGATCTGTGTCACTGAAACTCAACTAACGTCACTTCTTTCGCAGCGATGCCGCTCGGAGTGATCACCGTCCCCGGAGACTGTGACCTGGAAACCTGCCGTCTGCTCATAGAGCGTCTGCAGGACCACATGGAGCAGGTAGAGCAGAGGACAAAAGGTCACAAGGACATTGTATTGGACAGTTTTTCATCATCATATGACTTTATATAAAGATGATCAGGGACCAGACTCCCTCTCTGAGGGGAAGTGACATCATAGCTTTAGGTTTTTCAGTGACTTTTATTAACTGAAGTTGAGAAGGTTCAGAATTTAGTTAAATGGGTTCAGAGTTGTTTCGTACATGAAGACGTAGTTTTCACGTCTCTTCCTTCGTCCTCTTCTCTCAGGCCTGTGACACGACGGAGGGAGAGAGTCTGTCGTCACAGAAACTCTCCACCAAGTGGTGTTTCCTCGACTGTGAGTCCAGATCAGCTGAGCAGAGTCAGAGTCCTAACAGAGAAACTAACCTCTATCTCTCCTCTTTATTTTTTAGGTACGACGGCAGATCGCTTCTATAGAATCGACCGAACTCAGGTACGACGTTCACTGGACGAACTGTTCCTCACTGCCACAACTAAACCGTAGAATGTTCTTAAAATGCTCTGAGAATCTGGGTCCAGAAAGTGAAGCCAATGAAGAAGTACATGAAACCTGTCTTCTGTGTAATGACCAGCAGAGGGCGCCTCCACTGGTTGTCTCTAGAAAATGACTCCACTTCTCACCGCTCAGTCAAATTATGATCATTTAGAGTCAAACAGACCATAAAGCACCGAATACAGTGGGGGGTGGATACCACAGTGTGATTGACAGCTAGTACTGTCCAATGAGAGCAGGTGGCAGGTGTAAACATCATTTTTCAAAATAGAATATTTTTGTCTATAAATCGTCAGAAAGGTTCTGAGAATAAAGACGGAAGAATAAATGACTGAACCCTGATGTTCTGGGTTGTCTTCGTCCAGGAACACCTGAACTATGTGACGGAGATCTCTCAGGAGGAGCTCTACATCCTGGACCCAGAGCTGGTCATCAAGGACATGGTGGGCACGTCCGCCGGGAGGCTGGAGTCAGAGGAGCTGGACCAGGAGAGACAGTTCGTCCTCCCGTCCTGCACACACACACCCAGGTGAGAGAGATGGTGATCTGGTCCACAAAGTTGTGGGGGGGGGGGGTCTGAATGTGAAGTGTGTGTTGTTTTCATGTGGCTGCTCACGTTTTCTTCTCTCTCTCTCTCTCTCTCTCTCTCTCTCAGTTCTGCTTCACATGATTCTGAAAAAGGTAAAACGTTTAAATTTGATGCAGCTTCACAGTGACAAACGTTTCTCTGAACAAAGTGAAAATAAAGATGGACGACATGACGGCTCCCAAAAGTGAAATGAAAAATAATTTCGCCCCCTGGTGTCTGGCTGCAGTATGAGTCATAACCCCTCCTCCATGTTAACAGATGGGAAATGAACCAAACACAT